ACACACACACACACACACACACACACACACACACACACACACACACACACACACAGAGACTATTTTCATCCAGACATAGGAAAAGAACAAATATAATGAAAGCTAACGTTAAAAGCTTATGAAGGATAGGCCTGTAGGAACAGAAAATGTTTAAGATGTCTTTTGAAGCTATCAAGTGTTCTTATTTGTCTTAGTTTCATGGGTAATCTGTTCCACATAAATGGACCAAGATATGAGAAAGATCTCTCTCCATATGATTTGTATGATTTTACAGGTGTCACAAGTAGGGTGTTATCGTTCGATGATCTTAGGTTTCTCCCTGGTTTATATATACTGATAAGTTCTTGCAGATAAAAAGGAGCAGTGAGTTGTTCCATTGAGAAACCAAAGATACAATAAGTCATGAAAAGTGATTTAGAGGAACAAACCTGCGATGTAGTTCTTGACAAAGTCCACCTCAGCCATGTAGCGTCTGTGCAGGAAAGATATTGTTTCTCCATTCCCCTGGTCATCAGGATTTAGTCCTTCAATTTCTTGAATGGGGTCTTCACTTCCTGAATAGGTGCAAAAAGTTTTGTTCATAATTGTTTCCTGTAAGTTGAAGCGGCTTCTCAAATTACTAATCTAAAAAAAGCCACATTCAAATCAAATATTGACTTTCAAGAAAGAAAATGTAGACAACACAAGACAGACTACCACATTCTTTTCACCGTCCTTAATCTTTCTATCTATAAGTGTCAATGTTTTATGCCCCCATCAACCCAAAATGATTGTTTGGGAGGCAGGCAGCTTAGATTATGCTTGTCACTGCTACCGTATTCTGAGTAGGATAAAAGATATCTGTAATTATACAGATATCTGCCCCAAAAAAAAATTCTGTACTCAGAAATAAAAAATAGAACTCCTGTTGTCCGCATGCAATTTCAAAGAGCTAAACCACAACACCACAGACATCAAGTGTTACAAAAAAAAGTATTACCAGTAGAAATTTTGGTAAATATCTCAACATATTTATGCAACTAGCTAACACCATATAGTGTCTTCTCTTTAATGTTATAAAATTGACGCTCACAAACTCCAAAGTAGAACAAAATCATGAAAAACAAGCTAGGAGTAGACGGGCACTGACTTAACCACAGGGGAAATTAACAAACTTGTTCTAAATGGGATCCCAGTTTATCTTCTGGTAAGATTTTCCTTTCAGCTAGGTAGCCAGTCAGTGCCAAGAATTTTGCCCATCAACGAGACACTCCATATAAAGAAGGAAAATAAACTTTCAACTTTTTCAGTGCCTTTTTTTGACAATCATTGAATCAAGGCTTGAGTGCCAGATCATCGGAAACAAAGTTGTGCTTCATTTAGCACTTCACATGGCTTTAAAAACTCTGAGTTAATGGAAAATTTATATCTCAGTTATTATTCCAATTAGCAAACAGTTCCATGCAAAAATAAAGTTTTGACAAACCTTTTTGTGCAGTAGGGTAAAACTGCTACTTTTTTTCCCCATTTAAGGCATGGAACTGCTTGGGTATGCGCTGAGATTTAGGGGCTGGCACTGAAAGGGCTAAAAATAAATAAATAAATAGGACCAAGGAGAAAAAACTGTACTGACCAGCCCAGACAGCCGATGAATACTGTTGACGACTCATTCCACTCAGGTAAGGAAGGGTGGGCTTCAAGGTAAAGGCTGGGGTCAGACATGCTGACAGACTGCCGCTGTCACCTGTGATGAATAATAATAATGATAAAAGATCATGTTCTGTGAGCAGGCTTGAACTGGAAGAATGCTCAGTGTTATTTGCAACAGAAAGCATACATCATCAATGTCTGACTATAGCTCGTATCAGCAAAATTAGGCAAAACACTTTTTGTCTTCCATTATGTTATTAATAACTTTATTTACAATTGGTGATACTAAAATATTTACAAACTGATTCATCTATGACAAGATTCATAAATAAATTAGAAATTTGCGCAAAAGAGAATTGTCTCTTAGCATGGACATGGTCAGTTTGGACCTGACACCTTTGGTACACACTTCATTTCTAAAATTACCGGACTGTGAGAAA